TGAAGGACAGGAAGGCCTGGCGCAATATGGTTCATGGGGTCACGAAGAGTCGGACACGACTTAACGACTAAACAACAACAACATTGAGGATCCTCTCAGCAAGCAGCAATTCACACAGTTTGGGTACAAGGTGCAAGTGGAAGATGGACGAATCATTATGTTTGGCAAAGTTTAAAGAAGTAAAAAGGGAAGACAATGGATAAGGTGGGTGGATGGATTCAAAGATATTATCTGAATGCCTCCGGAAGAATAAGAGAGATTACTGGAGAGAAGTCAGGCCTGTGAGTGATTGTCCATGCTGTCACTAGGAACGCTAACTTGACCTAACTAAAAGATGACAGTAGCCTCTTAACAGTGTAGAAATTATAAACCAAGTCCTTAAAATAATTGTTCCCAACCAAAAAGGGCTTGCACATTATTGCTTTGGGGAGGGCACAGGGGGAGTTTTTACTGTTCCCACACGTTTAGAACCGTTTTTAAAATGAATTTATTGTTGATTTTATTCAATGCATTCTCCTCCAATGTTCTGGAACCCTTCTGAACTGCTTAACTGGCACCCATCACCTGAAAAACCCCGAACTAATGGCGGATGTAAACCAATCGCTGGAAGTTAAGAGGCCAGGTTGAAAAGAGTGTGGGAATGTTTAGCAGCGCTTATTTCGGTTCTAGTTCTCCAGTTATTTTGGGACTGCAAGATTCCCAGCCAGTACTGCGTGGGTTGACTGTGCTGACTGGAAATTAAGGATCCTGTCTGCAGGGCATCAGATACAGGAAAGATGGCCTGGAGTCCTTCCTTAAAGGCAGCTACAATACCTCAGTGGAGTTCTTGGTGCTGAGCTTGGTTGTTTGCTTGCAGATGTTTCATTAAACAACTGGGTAACATCCTCAGTGAGTGTGGGGTTTGCTGCCTGTTTATATGCAGTAGCTTTCCCTGGCAGCTTCGGTGGGGGTGTAGTTTCCTCCTTGGTGGTTCCTTGATTAGAGACTTGTTTTCTGCCTGATTGTTTGTCTGGGGCTGATCCCTGCTTATCTGAACATTGCCTGCTGGAGGGGATGTGTTGCAGTCTTTTTGCTTCCTTCCTAGGTTTTTTATTCTCTTTTGCATGGTGTGTAAATATGGTTTACCTCTATGTGTCTTATTGATGGCTGTACACCCCACTAAAATGGGCAGGGCAAGCTACTATATATAAAGAGACAGCAAACCCCACTAGCACTGATGATGTTACCTAGTCGGGTACTAAAACGTCTGCAAGCAAACAGCCAAGCTCAGAGAGCACCAAGAACTCCACAATTCAACCCTGAGCTAGAGATATTCTCTTCTATTGAAAATACTGCAGCTATTAAGTCCCTAGTTGTCAGCCCTTCAAAGCAGGGGAGGTCAAGAAACAGACTCCACAAGATCTACTGGAACTCTATTGTTGTAGGGTATAATAACAGAACCTTTTCCTCTGTCCTTTCTTATACCACGCAGAATCAAGGTGTGGTTATTTCAAGTCTCTTTCTTACATTAATTTCCTAAGGTTGAGATTTCATTTACTGTCTCTTTTATCTGTTAATGGCCCTTGCATTCTTTTGACAAGATTATCTCTGCCTCCCTCTATATGAGTAGCCTTGCAAAATAATTCCCAGAGCTTCTTACATGGCAGATGCTGACAACACAGAATCCTAAATATTTCTAGATAGCTTTTGCGGAACAATTCTTAAGGAAATTCAGTGGCTGAAATTGCACAAGATTTCAATTAAGAATGCCCAAGCTAGGGCAAAATTCTGAGCCTCATGCGAGACTGCACAAGATCTCAAGGACAAGAGCACAAAAACATTACAAGCTGTTGGCCACTGAATACTTATTTATTATTGTATTTAGGTATGCCACTCAAGAGATTCTGCCATACTGCCCAGCAGCTGAAATCATTGCTGACCTTAGCCATAGGCCATAATCTCAGAAGGCCTAGCCTCCCACCTTGATTTTGAAGTCCCGGCGCAAGGTCTTCTCCTTGCGCAACTTTTCCTTCTCATCCTTCTTGGCTTGGATGCGCTTCTGCTGCTCAGCAAAGAGAGATGAAAGATTCTCATCGAGGGACATCATGGTCTCATCATCCACGTCCTCGTCACTGTCATCTCCTTCCTTGGATGTAAAAAAACAAACAAAGCAAAGGCTCATAGGCCACCCCAGCAATGAATTATGAGACTTACAGTCCAACATGTCTAAAGGATGCCAAGTGGGGAAAGGCAGCAATATACCAATAGCAGACTCATCCTTGGAGCTATCAGTATTACTATATGTACTTGCAGGTAAGATGAGAATTTTAGTTGCCAAAATGCACCTAAAAAATCGGGCTCAGCTTATCTGTGGATGGGCTTATCCACGAGTATATACAGCAATACTTTTTTAAAGTCCCCATATTTCCTGTATATAATCATGGATAAACCCATCTGCAGATAAGCAGGCCCTTGAATTTTTAACCAAAATACCATGAAAAATGCAGGTTGGCTTAACGGTGGGTGGCACATTTTTTCATGAAATTTTGTTTAAAAATTCAAGGGTTGGCTTATCTGCAGATGAGCTTATCCACAAGTATATATGGTATATAGCCAATGGTTATATGGTGGTTAAAGGGCTGGGTTTGACTGGGAAGATTCAGGTTCAAATTCTCACTCAATCACAGAACGTACATATATATGATGACTTTAGAATAGTTCCTACTTTTCAGCCCCTGCTACTCAGAGGGTTGTTGATGCAAGGAAAACAGAAGTGACTTTATCTAAGTACACCATTTAGAAGCAAGGCAGGGTATAAATGTAATAAATAAATACGAAATGAATCCATTAGCTAATTCTGCACAATGAACACCTATCAGCACACTTCAATGTCGGGAGGATGCAAGGTTTGTGAAAAGTACGTAACAAGATCTTCAGAAAAGACACGTACAGGAGGGACATTTTTAAAAATCATCCCAACAAAGACTAAGAATGACCAGCAGCCACAGAACGATGGGTGCCATTTTGCTGATCTTTAATGCCAGTTGGCCAAGGCTGAGATTTGCCACAACCTAAGTTGCAAGACGCAATGAAAAAACGAACACCATTCCTACGGTTGCATTATTAAAGGTCCCAGAGCACATTTTTTGTAAAACAGTCAGCAGACCGCTTCACACAGAGCCAGCAGGAAGCAGCCGCTCACCACCTCTCCAAGACACCCGTTCCAGGCAGCGCAGATCAGCATTCTTCATGCCAAATTGTGTTTCTCTCAGCACAGGAGTCCCACTGTTTACGTAAGTAAAACTAAAGCCTCTTCTTCGATACCTACCACAGCATTCCCAGCTTGTAAAACATTCCTCAGCATGGCACGGAAGTTCTCATCTGGTTCGCCTTCGCCCTCGCTATTTGTCTCCCAACCCTCCTTGTCGCTCTCATCGCTTTCTTCAGAGCTGTCTTCATCAGAACTCTCCCCGCTTTCTTCATCTTGTTTCTGCCAGATAACACAATTGGGTTTTTTTTCTTCAGCTGTAACTCCTAGCCCCTCTTTAGTTTAACCTTCAATAGTATAAGGAGTTGCACTGGTGGGATGGGTGGCCATATAAATCAATATAAATAAATTAATAAATGGAAGGAAAATAAATCACTCTGAAATACTACAATGATTGGGCAGGATTCCGTATCCCACTAAACCATCATGGTTTCTTTAGTTGTGGCATAGCTTCAGCATGTAGTGCAAAGCCAGCCATTATGGTTTGTAAACAATGGCTTATCAATAAATGTGCTATGCAAGCCCAGCCAATTATCGTTGATTTAATATATGTGTAAACAAACCAAGGCTTACCAAAATGTATGAACCGAGTTGCTATCAATGTGGCAGATCAGCAAAATTAAGCTCAATCTGCCAAAGCAACAAAGAAATAATCTTTTGGATTCCTACAATCTGAAAATATTGACCTACAATCTGAAAATATTTATTTTAAAACAACCCATCCTTCCGTCTTTAACAATAAGAGTTTCCCATCTGCAAAACCTCACAATGGCTAACAAATGTCAAGAGAAAATATGGTCAAACTTTTCGCAAATGACCAACACTCAATGTATGAGAAAATTATTCTGGGGCTGATCTCTGGCACCTCCAGGTCATCAGTTATCAGGCAATGAAAATGATCCTTTTTCCAATAGAGGTGAATATGTGTAGCTCAGGGTTGAACTGTGGCGTCCTTGGGGTTCTCTGAGCTTGGTTC